CGCTACATCCAAAAACCGAACATTTTAACTTGGCCCTCTCGTAACTTCTGCATCATGAGCTCGGACTACAAAATCGGAGCGAGAAAATAATAATGGCGGATTGCTCGAAGTGTTGGACCGGTAGTCAATGTCCTTATTTGGCAGTTCCGCTGCAAATACAGTGGACGTGATAGTTCAAAAAAACGTCATAGAAAAACAGAAAAATCTGAACAGGTTGAAAATATGACCAAAACAGAATATAAAGATATAAACGAAGCACCTTAAGAGAATAATTTCATCTTTTCTGTACTTACAAACACTCCAAATATACAACAAAATGCATTTAAGAGCTAAAAAAGTGGATTTTGCATGATATGTCCCCTTTAAGATATTTTTAGATTTAGTTCGAGAGTTTTCTGTCCCTCCATTGAGAATGTATTACACTGTATACTGTCCTTGTCCAGAAAGGAAATAGATGCATCATCAAAGTAGTTAGAATGTGTTATAGCATCAAAAATACATTTTTGGTACAAAAATAACAAACTACGACTTTATTCAGCATTGTATTGTCTTCCGGTTCTGTTGTCAATCCGCGTTCAGTGACGCTGATGACATAATGACGCTGCTGATGTGTTCTAGTGTGTCCGTGTATTCAGGTTCAAATAAATATGGCTAGGGAAAAAAATGCAAGTCTTTCTCTTGTATTGTTTACAGTGTGCACCTCCCTCAGACTGTAAACGAAGCTTGGGCGCACCAGATTACACGTCAGCAGCGTCTTGCGTCAATCAGCGTCACTGAATGTGGCTCGACAACAGAACCGGAAGAGAATACAATGCTGAATAAAAGTCGTAGTTTTTGTTATTTTTGGACCAAATGTATTTTCGATCTTCAAAACATTCTAACTAACCCACTGATGTTACATGGACTACTTTGATGGGACAGTATACCGTACATACATTTCCACAGGAGGGACAGAAAGCTCTCAGACTTAATCTAAAATATCTTAAACTGTGTTCCGAAGATGAACAGAGGTCTTACGGGCTTGGGTGAGGGTCATTAATGACATAATTTTCATTTTTTGGCTGAACTACCCCTTTAAGCTTAGAAAAAAAATCTATTAATCTTTCTGATTATTTATATATATTTGGGCTGTCAGTTAAACGTGTTATTAACAGCGTTAACGCAAACCCATTTTAACGGCGTTAATTTTTTCTTTTTTGGCCTAGCAAACTTTGTAGTTTTCTTTCACATGCTTTTGCAACAGGACACGGCATGCGCGCGCTACGCTATGAAACCTATTCATTTCAATGGCTTGCGCCGTGCAAGGACGTTTTGTTGCTTCGTTAACCAAAGCGCAAGCGGATCTAGCTAGACCGGAAACAAAACAACAGGCACGGCGCACACACTTGTTTGGGCTTGCGAGCCAGCCAAATAGTTGGTTAACGTTACGTTTTGAGTGGATGACGAGCGCGAGACGCCAAAATGGATGCCAATAAGATTCTGAATGGAAAGTTTACTTTTAAAACGTTGACAAATGTTTCCATTGACAAGACCAAGTAATCTGTGTGTTTTGTCGTTGTGAACTGAGCTATCATCATTGCAGCACGTCCAGTCTGAAATACCGCTTGATGATGGCCATGCACACACACACATAGCTGATGCGAATTCTCCGCCGCCTCATCAATATCAGGACCTCGTCAGTATTTCTTTCACCCTTTTATTGATGGACAGTGTTACATTGTGTGAGAGATTATTTGCTCCAAGTGAGAATTCTAGTGTGAATTTGAACACAGTATGCCAATGTTGTTTTCAATAAAAACATTTGCACAAAGCAAGCTGATCCACTTTTCCATGTTGATAAGAGCATTAAAATTAGAAAAAAATAATGGGACAAAAAGAAATCAAGAGACATTTAGAATAGATAAAAATGTGTGATTAAGGGGCTTTGAAGGCTTTGAAGCTCATACAAATCATTGAGGTGATTTGAGGTGAGATTGAGGTTTATAACGGTTTTAACAGACTACTTGATCAAAACTTTGCTGTAAAACCTATTGTACTACTTTTTTAGCAAATAAACTTACATTTTATGCATGTTGATAAATTAGAGGCCTTTTTTTAATTTTGTGAATCAAATATAATACAGTAGGCTTTAAAAGGTTGAAGGTTATTATATTGTGATAGTTTTTTATGTAAATATTGTGAACTGTTACACCATTATTCTTTACACCATACTGCTATAACATGGTAACAGCAGATTGACCATGTTTCCATTTTTCCTTTTTCAGGGCTGCACTCAAAGAGGACAGACTTGCTTTGGTGCAGAATGGTTCTAGTTCTCCTTGTTTAGACCTGAGGTATAGTATGTTTCCCCCCATAGACCTATTTTTTGGAGTGTATAAGACTTCCCTCTGCATAAAACCATGTAATTTCCCGTTATTGTCCATTCTTCAGTCGCCTGGACAAAGCCCTGGCCACAGTCGTCAGGGAGCGTGGCACGGATCTGGTGATCATTGAAGGTATGGGTCGGGCCATCCACACTAACTACTATGCCATGCTCAGCTGCGAGAGCCTTAAACTAGCCGTCATAAAGAACTCCTGGCTGGCCGAGCGTCTTGGAGGCAAGATCTTCAGTGTAGTCTTCAAGTACGAGGTCCCTCCAAAATCTTAAGAGCAACATTAGAGAAACGGAGTTTTTTAGAGGTGAAATGGCTAGCTCCAGAAAGAAAGAGCACTACTTGGTCCTCTTTGCTTCTTCTTGATATTGACGTAATGATTGTATTTCAGGGTTTTCTTTTGCTTCATTAAAAAAAAAAAAAAAAAATCAATTATAAAGGGGTGGTCGTATGTGCCTGCTCTGAAATTGAATGTGCACGGCTGCTGTAACCTCCCTCGTAACAATTAGATGACAGCTGTAGGGGCTTTTTCTTTTGATGAGATTGAATTTTATTGTTCTCAGACCAGATTTGTGTTGCTGAATGATTCTCCATTGGATTCAGGATGGATTGCAATGACAAATATATCATTTTAAGTTTTGAATTACAAGTGACAAATGTAACATTTCAAGTTGTGAATTAGCCCTAATCCTGCTGGCTTTAACAATGTATTTAAATGTATAAGCCTGGTAAAAAAATGGGTCTTTCTTTTGTAACATCGATAAAAATCACAAAGAATATTGGCTTTTTAATTTCATTGCAGACTTATTTAGATGACGTATTTTGTGTATTTCCTATTTTGACAAGCAATCTGGTTTCAAATGTAACTGTTATGTTTGTATTATTTCACTCACTGTTTTTGTTGTTGCCTTACTGAATCATATCTCATCCAGCTGGCATTGTCTTTTAATGACTTGCTCTTCTGTTCCCATGACAACATTTTGGAGTGACAATGATTTTCTGTTATTTTAATACATTAATAGTGGTGACCCAACTAAAGTGAATAACAAAAGCTTCCTGCACAAAAAAGCATGCTTGGTTTTTGGCAAAACCGAGTAACTTTATGGATTCAGATTTTTTCTTCCATTGTCTTATTTCGATAGATAAAATGGTGTAACTATTTTAACAAACTTAGATATAGACAAAAGACCTTTTCTGAGTTGTGTATCATTAACACTAGGTGTCAGTTTTTAGTCCTATACAAATAGCTTTCTTGATTAAGGCAAATGCTAATGTGGTAGACTTTCAAGATTATTTCTCCCTCTCTTTTTTTATTTTTCTTTAATTTATCAGTCGTAGGAGAAAATGACATGGAACAACAGATCCTGCTTAAGATATTGCATCATTATATTTTACTGCAACTATTCTCATATTTGATGCAGCTCTCGCTTTCTACCATCTGTGGAAATCTTTGTAATATAAAATCCATTTCAGGGTTGTACAGCACAGCATTGCCTCACTATCACAGCTCTTTCTGGATGGGTGAGAGACAGATCGAGTTTGTGTGTATGTGAAAGAGAAAAAGTCAATTTTAAGATAATCTATACCACAATCATTCGTTTGTGGGAACTAAATGTTAAAGCACAATATTTCAGGGATATGTCACAGAGTAAGAATCGCAGCGATTTTTTTTTTCTTTTCTTTTTTATCATTCTGATTAATTGGTTAATTTTCTCAATGTATATTTTATCTTATGTGTTACTGCATTATTTACGTGTGTGTGTGTGTGTGTGCCCCCAAAAACGAAAATGTGTCATAAATTGCATACAAATTGACAAGCTATAATGTATTTTAAGCACAGTATTTACGCCATCGTTCTGACTAAAGGTTTAGTACTGATGGTCTAGACTCAGTCAATCAGTCGGGTGGTAGCTTTCAAAATATGCTCATCATGGACATTGTGAAAACAAGGATCTCTCTCAGACTAAATCTGTTTGTACAGTCCTCGTTTATCATCTGGCCAAAGGCTAACTTCCTTTAGTAATGCATACATTTTGTGAAATACTGTAAAATCAAGTGTAAATATACCATAAACTTGTACTTAAAATGTACTGTTTATTTGCCTTTATCTTGAAGCATTCTCGAGATTTCAGAAAATTAATACTCACTTGACAATCACATGTAATTCTATGTCAAATATATTTTACACTGTCTTCACTCAGTTTGGGTCTCTTTAATCTCTGTATTTGTATTTGCAAAAATAAAATGTTACCCTCTTTAGTATTGACCTGTCACCAAAGACATTACCAGTTTTGTATATTAGATCTTTACAATCAACACGAAAGTGTTCACAACAGATTTTGATGTATTTCTAAATGAAACTGATATACTTTGAGAAAAAAGGCAGGATTATATCCATTGATATCTAAATGAGAGGTGATTGGAAGGAATAGTTGAAAATGGGTGACATGAACTAAAAAGAAGTTGTTTCAAAGGTAGAGCACAGGTGAAATATCCAAATAATGAAATGTCTCATCGGAAGCCACAAATATGATTGAATGGCTGCCAGTAGAAAAAAAAAATGCGTTTATGTATCCATGGTGTAAGTACAACATCTACCACTAGGTGGTTGCTGGACCAAGCTAACAGTCAAAATCTAAACCTCTTGACCTGGGCTGCATTTCCCATGGTCTTTATGATCAGCTTAGCTCATGATGCTTTTGGGAAACACAGCCCTGGACTGCCTCATGAATTACATGACCAGCCAAGGTCCTTTTTTTATTTTAGCTTGGTAACCATCATACAGAAACATAAAAAAAAAATAATAATAATTGAATCGTGGCTGATAAGGAAGGACATATACAATGAACCAATGAAAAGCTTTCTTTCTCGTGATGCTGATTCTATACTGTGTGTGTATATTTATATGTACTATAATAATAATAACTTTATTTTTATATAGTGCCTCTAAGGCATCTTCTCAAGGCGCTTTACATAATAGAACAAACATGTTAAAATATAACACACACAGAGAGAAAAAGAAAAAAAAAACAGTCAAGTAAATGCTAACCTAAAAAATGCATTTTTAAATGAGATTTAAAAAACTTGAGTCTGTGCATCTCTGATATTTGGAGGGAGTGCATTCCAAAGCCTATGAGCGTAGGATACGAAAGCCCTGTTCCCTACAGTACGCAACCGAGTCTGTGTTACTGCCAATAAACCAGCATGTGAGCAGCGTAAGTGACGCATGGGTGTGTATAAAGTTAAAAGTGCAGACAGATACTGAGGGGCTGTCACGGCTGTATATCTTGTCTTGCCGTGTCTTGGTGTGTTTGCTCCTCCTACAGGTGCGGTGCGGAGCTGAGTTAATCAGGTGGATTGGGTGCACCGGTGCACAGGTGTGCCTGTCCATAAAAGCTTCCTGTTTGGCGTCCTCAGTGAGTGTTCCATTTTGTCACATCGATCCCCTTGTGAAAAAAAGTGCACTTATTACAAAAATAATACACTTTAAATTTATATACTTAAGTGCGATTTAAAAACAATTTTTTCGGGGCACTGAATGCACATTAAGTGTAATTTATTTCAAATATATCACATATTAAGTTGAAATAAAGTGTAATAAGTTGCAATCAAGTGTGATTTTTTGGAACAACTTAATTGGTACTTTAATACAACTTTATATATACTTTCATAATTGCTTCTAGTGTATTTAAATTATAGTTAAAGTGCACTAAACAATATGATGACACACAATTAATGTGATTAAAAATATACTTTGAAGTCAGTCAACAATACACTTAAGTGTAAATTAAATACAATTTTTTCGGGGCACTGAATGCACATTAAGTGTAATTTATTTCAAATATATCACATATTAAGTTGAAATAAAGTGTAATAAGTTGCCATTAAGAGTGATTTTTTGGAACAACTTAATTGGTACTTTAATACAACTTTACATACACTCTCACAATTGCTTCCAGTGTATTTAAAATACAGTTAAAGTGCACTACACAATATAATGACGCAATTAATGTGAACTAAAATATACTTTAATGTCAGTCAACAATACACTTAAGTGTGAATTAAGTGTAATGTTTTCGACAAACTTAATGCATATTATATGTAACTGATTTCAAATGTATCCCAGATTAAGCTCAAATTAAATGCTATTAGTTGATATTAAGAGTGATTTTTGAAATATGGTAAAAGTGTACTTCCAAATATACTGACGAGCAATTAATGTCAACAAAAATATACTTTAATTATATAATAGTGTACTTGTTTATTACATTAAATAAAATTTTTTAATTTAAAAAAATATATATAGTTGCAATTTATTTCAAATTTGGACAAAAAAAGTCTTAATAACCTATATAGTTACAATCAACACAAATTCAAATTTAAAACCCTCTATATTTACTGACAAAACAATCTCTAAAATAAATACATAAAAACCTTTCTGTTGGTGCACAAGAAAAAACCCAAGAAACAAATGGTTACAACACTTAAAATGAAAATTCTGTCATTATATACGCACCTTCAAGTTGTTTTAAACCTGTATGAATTTTAAACCTGTATGAATTTTTCTTCTGCTGAACACAACGAAGATATTTTGAAAAATGTCCGTAACCAAATAGTTAACTGGTTCCTTTGACTTCCATGGTATTTTGTTTCCTACTATGGAAGTCAATGGGACCAGTTAACTGTTTGGTTACTGACATTTCTCAAAATATCTTCGTTGTGTTCAGCAGAAGAAAGAAAGGTAACACTTCTGCACACTATTCATTATAAGCATGAGTTAACAGTTAATCATTTATAAAGCATTAATATACATTAATAATAAGTTTCTAAATACAGCAATAAATGTTTTTTTTTTCTTGATTTATAAGCATAATGTGTTTAATAATTGTATTTTCATACTTTGTTAATGATAAATTATAATTTCTTAATGAAGAATAGCATTATTTACAAACCAGTTATTTAAGAGTTGTCAGTGATTCATAAGATCACTTAAATGTAAGTTGAGGGTGAGTATATGATGACAGAATTTTAGACATTTTCAGAAAACATAATTCTGTATGATTTATAAGATTGTTTCCATCTAAATTACTGGTATTACTATACTTTTGGGGTAATTTGGTCTCCATAACCTAGGGATTACCAGTACAAACATCACTTTAGAAGCAAACACACATTACATCAAATACACGACCCATGAATTAATACAAACAAAATGTGATGTTATACTGCAAAATGTGAACACTAAGATTCAAACGGGTAATGAAAAAGGTATTATTAGTTAACTCCTTTAGTTAACATGAACTAAGAATGAATAATACTTGAAGCATTTGTTAGCCTTAGTTAATGTTAATTTCAACATTTAATAATGCATTATTATATTCAAAAGTTGTGTACTAAAATTATAATGCACTGTGAACTTGTATGAACAATAACTATAAATTGTTCTAACCTTAACAAACTATATTTGAATTAACTAATCTTAAAAAAGATTAATAAATACTGTAAAAAATGCTCATTTTTTAGATCATGTTTTGCTAATACATAAACTAATATTAACAAATGAGACCTAATTAAAGTGTTAACAAACCTGGTTAATTTTAGCACTTAAACCTTTTCGTAGCACCAACGTTAAAGAGGACAAAATGCTTACTTCAACATTACAGTGAATATAATTTTGTCTAAAAAATAAAATTAAAATAAAAATGAAGAAATCCAAAGGCAAAAAAAAACAAGAAAACCAAAATCATTTGTCACCAAATGTTTTGAAGTAGTTGGAAAGTCCTGTTTATGTCAATGTCCCGGTGCTCTCCAAAGTAAATGTGAATGGATTTGTTCAAAAGAGGCAGGAAAGTCAGGAAAAAATACCTTGAGGAAAAAAAAAAGTGAAAAAAATTTGTTTATAAAACAGATCCAGTCTATTATTAAATTTGGCTCAAATGAATGAAAGTGATAGATATTTTCTCTTTAAAGTTTTACATACCTTGCAGTATCTGCAAAATGTTAGTAGGCCTAATTTTAGCAATAAGAGGGAACACAAAAATGTATCTTTTTGTTTAGTACTACCCTGATGAAGCAGTTTATTCTGCAAGGTGTACGTAAACTTTTGACTGCTAACGCCCGTTTCACACATACTCCGTTTGCAGTGCGTAGGCTATGCGGTGAGTGTTGCGGTGCGTATCCGGTACAGGAGCCGCACGCGTAAGTGTTTTCACATATATTGCGTTTGCAGTGCGTGAGCTGTACCACAAACACTGAGATATATCCAGCTGCAGACCCGCAGCACCACCAGTTTCAGAACCCCAGCGCCAGAACCGGAAGTGAGGGAGGGGCGGAATTATTATTATTGCATTATAATTATTTTAGCAAGAATGCAAGGACAAAACGGGCCTGAGAGTAAGTTCCTCATACATTGTAAGTTAAATTTATACAAGATTGTTGTGATAAAACAGGCCTAGCTTGGGTTGAATTGGTCATTTTGTATAGATTTGTAACAAAACAATGCCGAATTTTCTCTCGTTTTTAGATGTTGACATTATTATTTTACACGAAAAATGCATGCTGCACATGTTCTTGTGAAATAAAGTATATTTTATAAAAAATACAAATGCGTTTTTTATTATTAAACAATCAAAATCATCTAACAAATACATATCTTCAATATCAAAACAATTTAAGATTTTTGTAAACACAATAAATAAATAAATAGAACATAAAATATCACAGAGGTCTAATGAGTTATCAAATTGTGTATAATTTTGAAAACCTCAAATGCTTGTCTTGTTTTATATCTTTCAAAGCTTTATTATACAAAGTTAACTCCTTCATAAAAAACAAAAAAAACAAAGTCTTACCTTCCTACATACTACACAAATGTATAAACTGCTTTAGCTAAAATTATTAAACTGTGTATACATTAAAATGCCCATAAGTTTCAAGTATTATTTTTTCACCATCATGATCAGGAAGTAACTTATAATACAATGAAACGAATAACTGAAACTATAAACAATTATATTACACAAAACCAATGTTTTAAAATGCTTATTGTACTGTAATGTAGTATCATAACATACATACGTAGAGAGTAGGACGTTTCTTGTTCAAAAAAAGCTGTTTCATGGAGATATATCCAGCTGCAGACCCGCAGCACCACCAGTTTCAGAACCCCAGCGCCAGAACCGGAAGTGAGGGAGGGGCGGAATTATTATTAGGCTATTGCATTATAATTATTTTAGCAAGCATGTAAGGACAAAACGGGCCTTGAGTTCCTC